CTCCCATAGAGAATCGAATATCCACCGGTTGGCCAACGGTATACGGATCAGATGCGAACTTCTCGTGACTGATGTCTGTCGGGACCCTATTCGTCAAACTTGCTTACTGTCGGATGCATATGTTGACTCGATAGATAGGCCGGCGCATATCAGGTGCGTGTTTACCAACCTGGGTAAATATGCAAGAGATCGTTACTATCCAGCGCTTTTTCGTCGATTCCGATCCGAGAATATTCAACTGAAGAAAATATGTTGTGAAACAGAAGGTCACTTGGAGACTCATCTACAATACTCAGGTCTGAATAACCAACCGCCTTGGACGTTAAATCCATTAGTAACTATCAAGACATTACTTATGCACTACTCCACACAACTGCATGGCCCCTTCACACGGATCGGAAGACTCGACATCGGGGAAGCTCGGGTTCCTTAAATTAATCCATTAACCTGCATCAACGCTGCCCTAAAGTCTATTATGCGGTGTTACATGCCACTTTTAAGACGCTGCGTTGTGCGTTACCATTCGATCTAGCTTGACGGGAACTACGAGCTATGCTATTGGATCAGCCAAGTGAGAGAACAAGAAAAAACAAAAGTTGAACCTCTCACATTTACATATGAGATACCGCCTACTTACTGCACGAAGCTCCTGTGGTTGCCGTCGAGATCTTCGTGTGCACTCACACCCCAATTCACCAATTATCGACCATGCCAGTTCATAACACGGCTCGCCGATGCCTGTGATGACGAAAAGGCGTGCTTTTCACATCTTATGCTACATCACAGGGAACTTCAAATTTCATCGGTCAAGGCGCATGTCTTAGCGTTACTCCAAGGGATGCTGTTTTGGTGTTACAAAGTGACTGAAAATGAAACTATATAGCTTTTATTATGGCCACCCGAGTACCTCCTAAACTTGGATATAAGGAGCGAAGTTTGATGGATATATTCCATGAGATTTCCAGATATACATTCTGCAACCCGGCCAGTTGCTCTAACATCGTTGGGGCTATAGACGTACATTAGCACAGGACACAATGGAAACAAAACTCATTCCAACACTCCACGCTGCTCAGCGTGGTCTTCTCATGCGACCTGTATTCGGTCAAATCTTGACCATCTTCCTCAAGCAGCAAGATACCCAAACGCAGGAAACACTTATTCAGATCATCAAAAACCTAGACGAGGATATCATAAAGAACCACAAGAGCGACTGCGGCTTGATTGCCGCCTTTTCTCCGGCGCTCTGGGGTCGATGGACGGACCGAAGCATCGTCATATCTACCGCAGTCCTCGATCGTGGTATCAATTTCGCCAATACCGGTGGGGATGTCTTGATCTATATCAAGTCTCCTGACCAAGAGACCGCAGCGATGCTCGCAGCGTCTATCCTCCCGTCTTTAGAGCCACTTGTCATAGATATCCAGGCTCTCGAAGTAGGCAAGCGTCCTGATGGTAGAATCATGGGTGGCCGTTACGTCGACCACATCAGCAACCCTAATGACCCCATCAGCTTGATCGAAGACATTTTGATTCCTGGCTCTGACCCTTACTGCGGTGCCACTTTCGGCATCACGCAGAAGTTTCTCTTCGACTGGCCTGACATCTCCTCACAATCTGGCGACGCCTTAGACGCCGTTATTGGGCGGAGGCCGGAAGGCGAGGTAATCTCCCAGCACGCCGGCAACGCTCATATTCACCGTGCGCACATCCTGGACGAAAATCTCGACCAGAGGAAACTGCTGCGCCAAGCTCTGCCATTCGGAAAGTCCAAGGGACAGGCTAGTCGCGAAGAGGGTATCATGTTTGTGGCCTTCTGCAACGACCAGCAGCGGTTCGAGAACATTCTGCAGAACATGATCGGCGATCGTCCGGAGAGGCCTCTCGATCGTTTGATGGATTTCGTCCAGGGTGTTGACGGCAGTTACTGGTATGTCCCGTCAGCGACTGAGCTGGGTATCACCGGCGTTAGGTTTGGAGACGACGTGTATGAAGATCCACACTGGAACGTTCGCAGCCCTAACCCTTACCTTTTCTTTAACGCGCAAGATTATATGCATCATATGACGCAGGAGAAATTCGTTGGAGGTGATCGTCCCAGTGTCCGTGTCTTGAGCCTCATGTCGAGAACCTTCTCTCATTGGCGAGACGGCTGGATGACCCGCCAGAATTTCCCACGCTTGCCACACTTGAAAGAGCTGGTTCCTCAGAAGACGATTCCACAGTCGACTCTTGAGCGCAAGGGCCTTGCTAATTTTCAAACGCTGTCCGATCTTCTTTCCTCACCACACTCCAAGATCGCGCGGGAAACCGGGCTGACTCGCATCGCGGCCAAGGAGTTGATCGTCGGCGCGATCCCCGACTTCACGCTAGGAAGGGGAAAAGAGGTCGTCCCTTATCTAGACGAGGATGAAACCATTGCCGCATGGCTGAAGGGTGAACTTAATGAGTGGTCGGCTATGGGACACGTCGTGCCCAATTATCAAACCCTGGTCGATAACGGGCTGGCAGCCATGATTGCAGATCTCGACCAACGGAGGGAAGAAGCCCAAAAGCAGAAGGACGATGTCAAGGCTTCTTTCTATATCTCTGCTAGAGACTCTATCAGAGGTGTTCAAAAATACCTCACGAACTGGGCGGAAATTGCTCGTCAGGCGCATGATCGGGCCACTGAAGCGGACGACAAACAGAACATGCAAACAGTCATCAGCTGCCTGGAACACCTCGTGAATGACGCACCCACCAGCTTCCACGAGGCGGTTCAGTTGATCTTCTCTTTCCACTGCTGCCTTCATCTTGTTGGCGAGCTCACATCCTTTGGCCGACTCGATCAGATCCTCTGGCCCTTCCTCGAGCGAGATATCCAGGCAGGCAGCATCTCGCACGGGCGTGCCCAGGAGATAGTGGACTGCCTATGGATCAAAATCGGCGAGAACGCCTTCGTCAACCGCGCGTTTATCTACGACTACAGAACATACGGCACCACGTCTATCTGCGGCCTCGGCGGAAACTTCCCCCAGGGCGGCGGCATCAACCAGTGGGTACAGCAGATCACCGTGGGCGGGTACACGGCCACGGATGCCGAATCTCCAGAAGGCGGTGCCAACCCCGTCACTCTCATGTGCATCAAGGCGGCACGCCGCATCCCCGTCAACGCTCCCAGCCTCTCGCTGCGTGCGTACAAGGACATACCCGAGGAATATCTTTACGAAGCGGCCAAGTCGATCCTAGCCGGTGGCGCACACCCTGTCCTCTACAACGACGACAGGCTGTGCGAAGGGCTCTTCCAGTCGGGCGAGACCGTTACCCGTGCCTGGTCCCGCAACTACGCAGCCGACGGGTGCTACGAGCCCATGATGACGGGAGCGTCGGAATTCACGTTCGGCAACGTCGCCCCTATGTTGGCGCTGGAGCAGACCCTCAACCAGGGCTCTACCTACGGCGCCGCAGGACCGGTATATCTCCGCGGTCTGAAGCAGACGTTTCGCTCCCGTCCTGCGTCACAAATCGCTTCCTTCTCGGAACTCCAGGAAATCTTCCTTTGTCACCTCTCCTGGCTCGTTATCCAGAACTACAGCACCCTGCTCAACGCCTACGGCAACCTCGCCGATATATGCCCGTCGCCCATGCTGTCCGCGCTTCTCGACGGCTGCGTAGAGTCGGGGCGCGACCTAACGGCCGGTGGCGCAAAATTTCATATCGGTGTGTATCTTCCTCTTTTTCTTTTCCCCCTTTCTTCTTTCTTTCTTTCTTTCTTTCTTATGGGTGTGATCATATAACCATACATTATTACACCTATCCAAGCACCAACCTGACCTCACACGTTCATAAATAGTTGCCCCGCTGTGCATAGGCGTAGCCAACACGATCGACTCCCTATACGCTATCAAGAAGCTGTGCTTCGACTCGGCGTCCGCGCGCGCCACGCTTCCGGAACTGGTGAGATGCCTCATCTGCGACTGGGGCTTCGACATGATCGAGCCATACCAGGACACCAGCCTGGGCCCCGCCAACGCTGCCGAGATGGCTGTGCGGTATCAGGAGTTGCGAGGGGCGGCGCTGGACTTGCCCAAGTGGGCGAGCGGAGACGGGGATGAGGAGCTTCGGGGGTTAGGGACGTGGCTTGTCGACAATTTGGTACGCTTGTGCGTGGATACCATACGCGAGCCAACGGTGGCGCCGACCCTCCGGGGCGCGCTGGACGGGATCTACGAGAAATACGGCCCGGGTTTCGAATTTGTGGTGACGCCCGGCGTTGGAACCTTCGAGGGTTATATTGGCGACGGCATCGCCTGCGGCGCGTCGGCGGATGGTCGCCGGAAGGGCATGCCCATCGCGTCGGACATGTCGCCCGTCCCGGCCGCGCAGGTAAGAATCCGCGTTGATGCCAGATGAAGTATGTAATTACTAACTTGCTAACGTGGAATAGGACCTTCCCGCGGCGCCGGTGCATCGAAACATATACCGCGCGATGGAGAGCTACACAGGCGAGGCCATGCAGATCGGGTTATCGAACGCGGCACCGGTGGATATGAACATTCCGGAGGACTTCCCTCTAGACCAGCTGCAGCAGTTCCTGGCAGATTTCGCGCAAGGTAAGGTTGGAGGGAACATGCTCACTCTGACTTGTGCCGATCTCGAGACGTACCAGAGAGCTTCGGAAGATTCGGAGAAGTATAACCTCCTTCGTGTTCGGATGGGTGGATGGACGGAATTTTATGCTACTATGTTCCCGGAATACCAAGAGCACCAACAACGGAGGCAGTATTTCGAGGTACAGGAACGACACGAGTAGTTCGTTATTCTTATGTCAGGTAGATGGTCCTGCTCTCAAGTGAGTCCAAAACCCCATGCGTGATATACCGGTCTCAGAGAGATATAAATGAAAGTAGCATAACTTGATTAATAACAAGGCCGCTATATCGCAAGTGATGACATTCTCATATAGGTATAAGAGAGCCAGGAATAAACTAACTTGGTATTTACAAGTAAATAGTTCTCTAATAGAACCTACTTGAAGGAATGCTCAATCCGTTGATATCAGAACCACCCGTTTCCGACGCACATACTTGCTTCATTTTACTGTTCAAAACGGCGCTGATACTATCGGTAGTGAAACAAACCTGAGAAATCCGCACTGACTCCTGGGCGAGAAGAATATCAACCAGCGCCTCCAGATGGGGAATCGTATCTTGATTTTCTGCTAGATGGAATCCGTCCAAGACCCAGACTAAAGCCGGCGGCGCGTGTCTCAGCAAAGCCTGTATCATCTGCAGAGCGAGCGGCACGCTTCCGAAGCTTCCATCCAGCTTCTGGAATTTCGCTTCGTCGAGCTCGTCTACGTCCTCGAACTCGACCGGTAGGAGATAAACAAGTTGCGCAACGATGGAGTACAGGAGGGCTATTAAGGCGGCTTGGTGTTGCGGGACTGATGGTGCGAAGTGGTCTCTTGGCTTAACGAAGAAGGATATGCAAGGGATATCCTCGTCTTCAAGCAACGAGACGATATGCAGTGCTGCTAGCGAGAGGTCGGAGCCGTACGAGTGGGTTGGTAGGCCTTGGATCCAGATCATGCGTGATTCTACTTCGCCGAGCCAATTCTGCAATTCTGTCATGACCGCATCCGGCAGGAGGGCTTTGAAATTGTCTCTGTTGGATAACTCGGATAACTCGGATAACTCCTTGCTTCCGTGTTCGAAGTATGGAGTTAAATTTGTCGCATACGCCATGGTTTCGTACCGATTGCGAAGTATCAGTCCTTCTAAGATTATTATCAGTATTATTATACTACTGCGAAGAGGATGCGTTAGTTAAAGTAGAGACACTTACCGGACTCATAATCATCGAACTCGTATTTCAAGGTTGATCCATCGTCCGCTTCTGTCTCCCAGATACTTTCCTCGGAATTATATTCCTCTTCAAATAGCCTGTCATAATAGTCGAGGCTGTTCTTCTCAGCCATTTTGAGGTCTGAGACTAGGTGATGGGCCGGGCCGGGTCGAATTTGTCTTTAATACCTACCACGAACTCGACTTTCTGTGCCGCGTGCGGCCTCTTGCTAAGGTTTCTGAATTGTTACCCGAATACCGTCTTCTAATAGGTTGGGATTCTTTATCACGGGAATGAATGCTTCTCAAGGCGAAGACAATCCTCTTTGCATGCCTTCGGAAGGGGGACATGGCGTAGCAGAGGGATTTAAATACTCGAACGTGAGTTCCTTCACTAAACCCTACATCTCAGGTTCTTATTCATTATGCTCCTTCCTCTGAGCTGTTTTGAGGTCATGGGCTATGTTAAGGTTGTTAGGGAGGAAGCATCTACAACTCGGCTATGATTCATTGACATTTTAACAACAGATGAAATAACATCTGGGGAAAGAAGGAAGCACCTTGGAAGCACCTTCCGTAGGTGGTAATTAACTCATACAGATACGTGTGGTCGTCCAAAGCTTCGAGAAACATTAGGTAATGAATCGACTTTTCGTCTTATTTTTTTGCTATCCAGGCTGCCTCATGTGTCTTGAACTGCGCTATGTAGAGTCGTGCCTGCCTAATCGGTGTTTGATTGGCATGAGTCTCGTGAAACAAGACGTACTTACTTAGTGGGAGTCAGAATTCTCACGTTGCCTTTTATAATCTGAAAGTTGTTTGTGGGGTTTGCCTCTTTTTCATCCCGACTCGCCATAATAGCGTCCGAAGAGGTCCTGGAGAGTGTACTGTCCAGAATTTTCTATTCAATATGGAGGTAACATTTACGGAGATTATCAACGATTCTATTAACCCCTATCGCGGATACGCCGGACTGGATGATTATATCCGAAAAATGAAATTTCGATGGGTAGAAGATACCGGAGAAGCGGATGGGAGTATTGAGTCTATATCACGGTGGGTGACCCCCTATTGTCCTTTTTTTCATCTAGGCTGATTTTGTTCAGAGCATTCTCGTCATCTCCTCTACTTCCAGGTTCGAACCATAGTTTATGCCTGTATATTACGCCAGCATCAATGGGCTCTATCTTAAACTCGCCCTCTCCTTCGTCCTGTAAGAGAAAATATAGAACTAGAATTCCTTTTCTCGTTGCTGTCCCTAGAGATGTCAGTAAACATGACTACGATACGATCAACGGGGATATCGAGAGGGCTCCATGGCGGGGCTTTTTTAACGTAGCTGTCGAAACACTACTCGATTCTCTCTTCCCTATTGTTGCGGATGACTCAATGTCCCCTTTTGAAATTGGTGGGCGTGTCACCGGCGATGACGTCTGGTGCGATTGTACGAGATGGGGGGTGCACAAGGCCGGCATAGGATACTGGGATTCAAGGACGGGCCAGGCAGGCAGTGGACTGTAACCAGAATATAGGCGATAAAACATTGTATGCTTGCATTTATTTCAATTAATATCATGCCATTAACCATCCCCTTAATATTAATGGGACGTAGCGACCTCTGGTTCTTGAAGTTTGAGGCTCCGTGAGAAGGCTAGCGGGGTAGTATTCGATTAGACAAGATGAACCTCCTCCTCTGGTCCAGATATTAGCCACGGTAGAAACTTATAGGCACGTGTTAGCTATTACGTATTTGAAGTAAGAACCAGGAACCGGGAGGCAGACGAAAAGAAATCGGTTTGCATATGAGCCTACTCGTATTCGAATACACGCATGTATAGGGGTATAAGAGGGAAAATAAGGATAAGAAAGACGAACCTGTTCCTTCACTAGCACCACAAGGCCGAGACGCCGGAACTTCCCATCTGACACATCCTTACGAAGTAGTAAACCGTCGCGTTCGCTCTTAATGATCGGTAGAAACCAGCAGTCCTGAACCCCTGCACGGTCCTCAGCTATATCAAAACAGGTAATAGCGAAGCCTTCGGTAGAAGGCAACCCAAGCTCGTCCAGCGCGGCGTATTCCGTATTGGAAGGTTTTAGGAGCGCCACGAACCCCTGTTTGGCGAGATCACGGCGGCGATGTGGCCAGCCGTTATTTGGAAAGGTAGAGAGTTCGGACTGCGAGGGGATTGTGCAATGGACACGCTTAGGGCGGCCAAAAAATGCGAGTTCGCAGGTAGGCATGTAGAGTATGTTGGCGTCGCAGTTGGGATTTTCAAGGAGGGTCCATCTTGGAGTAGAATCCTGTGGTAATGAAGATAAAGGCCGTATAAGGATATTGGCGGGATTCTGGAAGAACTCGTCTCGTCGCAGAAATTCTGGGCGAGTGTAGATTTGGCCTTGGACGGATGCCCACTGGCAGAACTAGGGTAAGCTTGTGGTTTAACTAGGTAGATGTACAGTTATAGAGCAACAACATGTTATAAAAGAAAGGGCTAGCATTTGGACTGTATATTTTTGGTTGAGAGAACCTTGTTTACTTTGATTCCTTACTCCCCCCTTTTCCCCTACCAAATAGGAATAGGAGGGGGTAGGTAGAGATAACAAGCCTACCTAAAAACTTGAGATGAGTGACTTACCGACCATGAAGGTGCTCTAGATACCGTCTCGCCATTTCTGTTAACGGGTCTTTTGGGTTTAGGCCAGGAAAACTTCCTAAGGATCCATTTGACCGAATAGGAAGTGCACCACAGTAGGCCGCGGGCCATATCTGCCTCCCATATACCAGCCAGATAGCGAGACCTGATACTTCTCCGTGTTAGCTGGACAATACTGCTACAGGCAGCGAATATGTCATCCGGATTTGTCAATTGGCGGAGCGTGTAATCTGGAAGGATTTCCTTGTACCACAAGTGTAGCATCCGGGTACGTAACTGTTCCTGTTCGCTTATATCAAACTTCATATTAGCATCTTCCGCGGGGTTTGGAAATGACCCAATTCGTAGCTGTGACGAATCTTGCATGTTCAGGGTGCCATCTTCCCAAAGCTGCGACCGTTGGCACGAGAAGTATATTTGCTCCATTGCGTAGATGAGTGCCCTTCTGCTCAGTACTTTTTCCTGAAAGCACCATCCCCGGGTGCTAACAGGCCCCTCTGCCTTGCTTCGAAGTAGCCATAAATAGACGTTGCCCAAATCTTTACCGAATGGTATTGGACAGGGCGGCACTACTTGCTCTATGTTGTTTACCCTGAAGCCAGTACGACTATCTGCGGCCCGTCCGGCAATGACTGTCAACACCGCATTACCGTATACCTCGGCCATTCTTTCAGACTCGTAAAGCCAGTCCTCAAGATTCCCCTGGATAATACAAAGAGAATCGATCCAGACATAGCGGATACCCAAGTGGCGAGCAATAGCGATACACTCCTGGTGTGTCGTTGTTAAATTATCTTCATCGATAAGTTCTAGGAAGGATGTGAAGTTTCCATCGTTCAATTCTGTGGTGTGCCGGACACCTTGTCCCCAGCAGTAAGATAGAGCTAGATACGGCTCGCGTATCCCCAACTGCTGTGTTTGCACTAGCCTTGTCCATCCGGGTGAGACACCGATGTCTAGAACGCGTGTGGGCATGTTCGGCGGTACATTATCATCTGTGGCTCTGCACTCTGGGTGTCTCTTCTGACATCCATCGAGGAGTGCACGGGCGAAGCCGATTTCCCCAGCTTTATTTCTGAACGCCGTATAAAGGCGTTCATCGAAGCGAGTTGCAGCAGGTGTATCTATATTTATTAGTAAAGAGTACTCTTAGTAAAAACAAGATACGAATGAACTCAACATATATACCTGGATCCGCAAATACGTAGAGCTCGCTATGTAGAATTTCCTTTCCGAAGCCTTCCTCCGCATTCTCTCCGTTCCCGCAATCCACCCATACCTTACTGCCATTTTGATTACGAGTATGGTCCACACCGGTAATGTTGGCGGTGCCAGCTGCTGTCCTCTGTTTCGGGTTGCGGAACATATCCGAGAACATCCCCGTCAACCAGACCCTCTCGTCACCCAGTGGCTGCCCCGCGTGCTCATAGTTGGCAGGGAATCTACCGTCTAGTACGGAATTGATTTCGTCGGTTGTGTGTTTCCGCTGGATGGAAATCCAACATAGCAGGCACAGATCGCAACCCGCTATTGCAGAGTCCCGGAGTGATCGTAAGTTAGGGTGGAAAAAGGTCATATGGCTTCTTAGTTCCTCTACGGTTAAGGCGGCGCAAGTTTCACATCGTGCCATTTTCCCTTTACTGAAAACCGCCCTCTTCATTCGCTTCAACACTCTTCATTAAACCTAAGTAAAAAGTAAAATATTTAATATTCCACGCCAATGTTTGGATCCGAATAACGAAAAGCATGGAGAACTCGAAGGAAATCCAACGTTTTATAACTGGCGAAGCCAGTCTCGGATATGCTGAACTGTTACATTGACCCAAGCCAAGACAAGGTGTGAACCATGTTTCATGATCGCTCGGTCAGCCCATCATTGCTTAAGTTGATAGTTGATATAAGCACAGTCAGAATTAGGTCTCGATGGGGGGTAGGCAAAAATCCACTTTCCCCCGCGGATCAGTACAAGCATAAAGAGTGATGCTATTTACAGATTACCTTGACAGTCCTTCCATACAGATTACCCCGCAGAATAGGTGTAAGTAACCGGCAACCAAAATTATTATATGATAAGAGACGTATCAAATGGATATTCAGGTTTTGAAGCCAGAGTTTGTTTAAGCCCAATCAATAAGTGCCGTATCCTGTTTAGTTAACTGCGAATATTTCACGCTATCCCTCCAAACCATTGCCCTCTTTTTGACATCCGCAGCCTCCGGTACAACCTCCTGCACCTCCGAGCCGTTGAGATATTTACCTCTTAGCTCGGGGTTAATTTCAAAGGCAGCCCTTATCACGTCCTTGCTGGATTTGTTGATCGTCCGGACGTGGCCGTTAGGCTCAAGCCATGTTAACAATGGTGCGAGGAGGGGTAGTATGACTGGCCAGAGAAGTACGCGGGTGAACCAGTTACCACGGCGAAGAAGACCGGTACCCATAGCTCCGGGATCAATCCCAACAATGGAGAGGTTTTTAAGAGCCGGATCGGCATCAAGACGTCGCTGAAGCTCGCCTACCATCATGACATTGCACATTTTGGCAACTCCATATCGACGCGTCCCGGCTCTTCGATGGAGGTCCTCATCATTGTTGCTACTCCAGGTACTATTGGCGATGGTATCAATTGTATCATTGCGGAAGAAGGTTTTCCATTTTTCATCCTCATAGATTGCATCGATTTTATGCGAGGGATGGTTGACACTAAACAATATGAAATTTTAGTACTAGTCACGATATGATTTCAATGTCTCAAGCTTCAACTTAGAAAATGATAGACTGAGCACTTACTCGTACGAGCTACTACCAAGTACGACGATACGGCCATTCTCAGAGTCAAGGTCCTTCAATAGCAGCATGGTCAGCAGCCAGTGTCCCAGATAGTTGGATGCGAAACTCGTATCAAATCCTTCGTTAGTAACAGATTGCTGCCCCAAGTCGTGATAACCTGCATTGAGAATAAGTGCACGTATTGGCGGAATATCACGTATTGCTATACGGGCATGGAGAGTCCGAACAAATTCCCGCACATTCGCCAGTAGCGATAGTTCTAGTGACAAGATCTCGTAGGAGTGAGGTAAATTCCTGTTTTCTAAGGTAGATCTGAGCGAAGAGGCCGATGAGGCATCGCGAACAACATAGACACCGTGATATTGAGCAAGTTCAGGGGTTGTGATGATTTTAGAGACAATTCCACATCCAAGTCCACCGTTAGCACCTGTGAGAAGGATGGTGCCTCTACAGGTCGCCATTTCTCTACGGGTTGCTATTTTATTAAGAAGTTTAACCGTCTCTAATGCTTGTGTGATAAAGAGTGCGGAGGGTTGCTGAGGGCGGGCGTACATATACGGAATACAAAGCCTTAAAATAACAACATGCACGTGCATATATACTGGTACTCAGGTACTTGAATCCTTTTCTTTCCTTCATATCTTAGATACTTACGTATACGTTGCATTTACCTTGCGTATTGTCCTTGTGCGACCAATGAACAGTCTCCCCTATTAGAGTCACGTACCAACACTTGATGTAAGGGCGTAGAATGTAAGCATATAGCTGCTGCCTACACCACTACTACAGATAAGCAATACCATTAGCACCTATAAACACTGGCTTCTGTGACTTTGTGTACCTAAAGTTTAGAACTCGCTGGAGACCAATGGGGTTGTCTTCCTATCTTAGAAACTTGCCTTGTGACAACATCTTGGGTACGATGCTTGCTAAGGGTTTATACAGTTATATTTGTTCGCATATGGGCCAATAACCCTAAAATTTCCACTCGCGGTTGGCTGTAATATCAGATCAATCTTCAGCAGTTCGACTTGTTAATGAGTGTAAAAACACGCCTAGGCTGGTCTGATTTGGAAATACATAATTTGATCAAAGGGCCTCACCATTCGTCGAAAGACATTCCTATCCCGTTACCAACTACACTTTCAAATATATATTATGTCTGTTATAGGGGAGGAAGGATTGGGAGAAACCGTGCGCTCCAAAATATCTGAAAGGATAAAAGCAGTAAGCGAAGACAACCCTTGCTTCATATAGAGTGCTGTTCGTTGCACATATTCTGAATGGATATCGATTTTCCCACCCCAACTCTGCACTATCATTGTAGTCTGAGTGCCTCCTTGCAGGCTATCTATCTCCTAGCAATACCTATCGGTGTTGTGGGAAGTTTAGGTAGCTATGGCTCTTAAGCTTTTCTATCTAGAAATTCAAAGATAGGTACCTAGGTATTACTGCATCCTAGTCGGAGGCAAGGGGGATCTCAAAATGTTGTACATATACTACTGTAATAAAGAGCTCTTAGATATCTTGGAGGAATTCCTTCAGCTTTTCGGTCTGGTCGTCCTATCAATATCACCTCAGATATTTTCTACAAAGCACTCTCTGAGTTGCAAAACGGCCAAGTAGTAAATTATAGGTAGGCGTAGTAGTAGGATGTATACATCTAAAATAACGGAACCTACGCCTATAACAATACCCCAGGGTAATAGAGCCTGCGAATTAGCAGTGTCCACTATCGAAACCCAAGGCTGGCCGGCATGTGGGGCACTGAAGTAGCTAGCCATTGGAATGAAGCTCAAGTATAAGAGGGTGTTGACAGTCAAGCCGATAAAACAGCAACACGCATATAGCTCTTAACCCCGAATATTTGTAGGTAAAGCAAGAGGATAGCAGCTTTAGAGAATACAAGAGTCATGCCAAATGTGATTTGTTGAGTATATAATTTCTTCAAGTAGTCTGGCCTGTAATACCAGCAGAGCGGTATGTCCCATTGGTGGCGGTTGTATTTGCTCACTAATAATCACATAGTGCCCAAATATTAGCAAAGCATGTCAACTCTAAAGGTAAGATGAAACCTCACTCACAAGATATAATAATCCCTATATTGGAGCTATGCAGGAGAAGGGCGGCTAGAGTAAAGTCTAACGAGATAATATTTGTTAACAAATATTCTCCCCGGAATGTAGGAAAGGGGGAGACTTGCAGTCTGACAATTGTAACTTCTGTCGGTTAGCCCACGTCCGTGCCAACACGAAGGTATACGTTAGCATGAGCAATACAATGAAAACCGCGATCGTCGTCTTCTGTAGGGATGATGGATTCACGAAATTAGGTTCCGTCTGACCGTCCGGCAATGGAGACATGGGGATAGAACAAAGGTCGATTCCAGGGGGAATTGAAGTCATTGTTACTTAAGGAGGCCTACACGGGCCGATCGCATATAGTAAGAGTGGAAATTGACTAAACAGTAAAATGATTATAAGCGTAGTTCCGCGGGATTCACTAGACAATATCAGAGGGCAAGCGCGGGAAGATTCAATTTGAAGATTCCTATCAAGAAGAATAGGGAGAGCAACGAAGCTAGTATAGAACATATTTAATTATAAGAGCTGATACCTCTCTCCTACGCACTCCACAACCAACATCATTTGCTCAAGCCTTATTCCTTAAAAAGGTAGTAAGGCTAGCACGACCTCGGGTTTGGGGTGGCACCAACAGTCGCAAAAATAGAATAGATAGATCCTGGGAGGAAAAGTGCGCGGTACGCGAGCCCGCTTGGGAGAGCCAATGGGAATGGTTGGATATCATATATTAGGTATCACGAGGTGTAACTTGCGTGACATGTTATTAGTTCAATTTATGCAAGATATACCTAACATATATTCTAGCGAGTTAGCGTTTACTACGACTCTTGCCCGGGATCATACCATAAGACAACCGCACCCAATGTGCCGCCTCCGGTCGTGTTGGTAACACGAAAAGGATTATATAGGTATTTCTAGGCCGCAGTTTAGGCCGTGTAATCCTCTGGGCCGAAGTCTTCTTTCATTAGGTACTTGGGTAGGTACCTACCAAATACTTCCGTTATATTAACCTCAAGGGGTAAAGCAGTCAAAACTTCATTCCTAGCGGTGTGATATCCATTAATTAGCAATCCTGTAATCCTGAAGCTTGGTGTGTAACACTCGTGATTTCCAACTCCCCCCTATTGAGCCTCCAGGAATTAGTTGGTTTGATAAAAGTACCTAGTTTAAAAACCGATGGAAATTATCATTCCGAATTGCAAATACTATACCTATCCAAATACCAGGCGTCTTCGTTACCTTCTGGCATTATGCAAACTTCTATTTTCGAAAGCGTCCTTGACGGACCCCCATTCGTTATATATCCAGCTTTTATTATTGTGCTGCTAGGAATTCGTTATGCCTGGGCTATTTACAACTATCGCCAAATGCGCAAAGATAATACTAGGAAGCGGCAAATCCCCCCTTCGTATCCCGCGCTCTTCCCATACCTGGGAAACACGCTTGCTTTTGCGTGGAATACTGGAAGTTTCCTGGCTAATGCCACGTAAGTATAATGTTCATACTCTCCTCTTGGAGATATGATCGAAACTGTGGCTGATAATACATCGTAGTTCTTACAAAGGATCATTGACGGCAACAAGAATATCCCTCTTAGGGTTCAAGTTATATGTCTTCCAAGACCGTGAGACTATTTGCAAAATCATGAGACACCCCTATCTTTCGAGTCCAATGTCTCTATATGTTTTCGGCGAACGGTTCTTATTCGGCATGCCTCAGAGGGGCATCTCAGAGTACATCGCTGATGACTCTGGACCTTCTGTGAAACCGTTTCCCGGAAGCAATGTGCCATGCGAAAAGCGCGTTGACTATATGCTCCACAAGGCTTTCAATCAAGCCTGGACCGGCCATTCCCTGACATTGGCGTCTCGACGATTTGTAGATACTTTAGTATCACATATTGACGACCTTAACATTTCTGGCGAATATATATACGTCAACGACCTCTTCAAATTCTTTGGTAGGGCCGTCAGTGCCTCAGTGACACAAACCATATTTGGTGCCTCGCTTCTGCAGCTGAATCCAGACATCATCGATAATGCATGGACGCTGGACGAGGCCTTGCCGTGGATGTTCAGGCAGGTTCCATCATTTATAATGCCCCGACCTTATAAAGTGCGAAAGATTCTCTCCAACCAGATTCGCATGTGGTATTCCTATGCTCGGCAGTGGTTTACCGAGTCCAGTATTTTTCCAGATGGAGATGGAGACCCATTTTGGGGTTCAAAAATTATAAGACATTTACAGCAAGAATTACTGAAGAACGGTGATCGAGGCTTCATTGACGATGAATGTTTTGCGGCCCATGACATGGGCTTGATTTGGGGGTATGCTACCTTAACTTACCTATAATGGATGGAATTTCGCGGGCGACGCTGACAAACGACGCGCATCTAGATCGAATTCGAACGTTATCTCGGCTACCATGCTTGTAGCATTTCATATATTCCAAGACCCAACGCTTCTTCGCCGCGTTCGTTCAGAATTAGAAGATAACTTCGGGCAATCTTTTTCAATCCAAAATATCAACCATAAAGACTTGTGGAAACTTCCGCTTTTATCCTCTGTTTATGCCGAGGTTCTACGCTTATATGTTGATGTTCTTCTTATATTTCCCGGGTGAGGCCTGGATGCAGTACTCATGACTATAAAAGGAACCTGATATTAGCGATTAGCTATTTAAAAAAATCTTAAAATAATAAATTCACGTATTTATTTTATTAAATTTTATAATAATATTTAATACGTTAATTATTATTATTATATAATATTAAGCATTTTAATACAATATGTTTATAAATTTATAAAATTATTTATAATTTATTTTAAATATAATAAAAATTAAATAATTTTAAATTAAAATTTAATAAAAATTTAATAAAAATTTTATAACTTTATAAGTTTAAAAATAAGATTATTTTAATTTTTAAAATAAAAATTAATTAAATTAAATTAAATATTTTAAATAAAAAATTAATAAAATTTTAAAAAATATCGAATTTTTTTAATTTATTTTTAATTAATAAAATAATTTTAAATAAATTTTATTAATAATATTTTATATTATATTAAATAAAATGGTTTATATTTTAATAAAACCTTTACGATTAAAACGGAGAAATAATAAATTAAATTAAAAAATTAAAAAATTTAAATTTTAAAAACGTTAAAATTTAAATATAATAATATATTAATTATAAATATAATAAAAAAAAATTTTATTTAAAATAAAATATATATAAAAAATTAAAAAATAGTAATAAAATAAAATATTATTTATAAATTTAATATAATATATTTAAATTTAAATTTAATAATTTAAAAAAATTAATTAAAAAATTTAATAAATATA